GAGTAGGTCACAACCCATATATTAAATTTACTATAGATCGGTACCATTTCGATACCAGTTCGATACCAGTTCGATACCAGTTCGGTACTTTTTCGGAATCCTAATTGTTATAATAAAACATCACTATAAGAATTTTATATTGTGAAATTAATAAAACCGTTATATTGGATTCTAAAGCTAATTATAATATTATGGGCGAGAGTATAGCAAAAATAGTAGGCTTGAAAATTAATAATACCTCCGATATGGAAATATACAGTTCCATTAGCAAGTTCAATATATTGGGAATAATTCGTGCAATAGAGATTTCGATCCAATCTCAAGATCGTAAATGGGAGCAAGTAAAAGTTACTGATGTTTTCATTACCAATGAACCCGAACTTGAATCTATACTAATATTGGGTTAGCTGTGGTTCCAGGAAAATGCAATGAAACTGAACTTCCCAAATAAAACTCTCACATTACTTAATGGAACTAGTTGTGAGGTTAAGTTAATTGAGAATATTCGGGAAATACATAGCATATATGCCTAAAATTTTGTACCATGTTGCATTATACATTATTATATATTTCATAATACAATAAATATTAATTATTTATGCAATAGCAAATTCCCATATTTCATGAATTCATGCATATGATACATCATATTTTTTAGCTAAATCCCATAATGCATTTGCTGAATCCTTAGTAGTAATTATATCACTAATTGCTTCAGATAATAAGCATGTAGCATCTGATTTTAATCTTCTAATCATTTATATATGCAAAAATTAAAACCATATTAAATACATCTGAAATAAGTAATAAATATATAATAAGTTATAGCAGAGTGTGAGACAGGTTAAGTAAATATAGTGAAAATTATATTGTTAACAATATTAAAACATCAGAAGCATGGTTATTATTTGCTAAATATTATTCATCAAAATATATACACAAGCGTTTATTAAAATTAAGATATGAAATAAATAGTAGAAATTATTGGAAGAATTTTGTATTTTGTATCAAAAATAATTTAACCAACCATAAGCAAATAGGTAATGACCCTAAATATAGAAATTTTAAAGTTCAATTAGTATTATATAAAAAAAACTGTGCATTATTAATTATCCAAAAGATATATTGTTTATGGAAAAAACAAATTAATTCCGCTAAAATAATCCAACATGTAGTAATTAAATGGCTATATCGATCAGGTGGCACATTAATGAAACAAGCCAAAGATCGATATTATCAAAATGCGAACAAGCTCCATTATTAGCTAGAACAGATTTAATTTCTGCAATCAGACCCTTTAGAGCAACCCTTTGGGGCATAATTATATAAGAAAGTATTTCTAGTTACCTATCATGGGTTACAAATAATTATATTTAGTAACAGAGAATGGTAATTGTTTATCGAATTATTTTTTCGATTATATTATACATTATTAAATAATATTGCAGAAAGTGCATTATTCTGGCTATAGAAGAATAGAGTGAGTAACCGTATATTCGACAGCCTCCAGCTAATTTCAAACAAAGAATTTTTATTTATTATAATGTATATATATCTGTGATAATTTTTCTTGTTTTACTTTTGATTTTAGACATGGACACTGATCGATGTTAACTGATTTTTTGACGAAAATCTCATGTAATTGTTGAGGAGAGACATTTGAAAATAATGGTAGTCCCTTACCAGTAAACCAAAATTTCTTTACCCCTATATTAGCGAATTTCTTTATTAATACACCTAAATCATCTTCTAAGGGACCGTGAAATTTTTCAAACCTTTGGAGGTACACTCTTGCATTTTTATCAGTTTCTTCTGTCCTTTCTTGATTAGAATAACCAAGAATACCGATTTTTTTCTGAATTGTTACTATATTGTCTTCTAAGCATAAAAGCAAATCAAATAACTACAAGGGTAAAGGATACAACACACCAGCATCATCATCTTCAACACAACAAAAAGAAGAATGCTACCACTGTGGAAAAATGGAACATCATGCAAAGGAGTGTAGGGCCCCATACCCTGTGCAACAAAAGGTAAAATTCAACAACGTCGAGGAACATACCATTTACAAATCATCCAACAACAAAGCTGAACTAGCATACTTGGAGGACAACAGGGAACGTCCTCTTAGGTTTAATAGCAAGGTGAATGAATACTCTGCACTGATCTTGCTGAACAGTAGAGCATCACGAAACTTTATCAATGAAAAATTTGTGGAACGAATGAAGCAACCAACCAAGAAAACCAAATCCTTCTTTGTGTCTCTTGTTAATGGGACTGAAAAAGGAATTAACAAAGCTGTCGACATTAGTGATCTTAGTTGGTAAAAATTTTTCTAATCGATTAGTTGTTTTTAATATAATCAACTAGTTGCAACTAAAAATC